CTCAGGACAGACCACTGCGGTACCCGCCGGCCCAGAGCACACGGAGGTTCCTTGGCGCAAACACCTCCTGCAGGAACCCCAGGGTCGAGGACACGAGGGGACACCTCATCCCAAGTTTCTGGAGCAGGCAGGGAACAATGCAGTTCAGGCCAAATCAAGGGGACCGGGTCCCCTGAGTGCTGCTCCATCTGCCCAAAGACGGAGCAGGCATGTTCTGGGGTTCCTTAGGGCAGACAGGGGACAGGGAGCAGCCAAGGACGGAGTGGGCTGCCCTTGTGGTAAACCTCCCGTCCCTGAGGAGGCAAGCAGAGGCTGAACGACGGGGACAGGACAGAGTGGACGAACGTCTGCCAGAGCCTCTCCACGCAGTGGGCTCCCAAGGAACCACAACGCCCTCGGAGGGCAGGGGTCTTCTCCTAACCAAGCATCCTAACCGAGCATCCGAGGCGCAGGAAACCCACTCCCCCACCATGACCATATCTGGACGCCACCGGGAACGCAGAGGGAACGCCATGCCAAGGGGGGGAGAGCAGGCAGATGGAGCAGCAGCTGGGGGGTCGGGGCCCTCGCTCAATATTAAGGCTGAGCCCTGCTCTGTTGGTGCTGCTGTTGAGTATTGTCATTAACTGCTCTTGGATTTCTGCCTCTGGGACGGAGGAGGGGCCTGCGCTTGCTCTGGGACCTCGCTAGAGACTACGGTCAGGAAGTGCTTGGTGGGACGAGGCTGGGTAGGGACAGGGACTCTCTAAGTTTTGTGCTATAGGGCACATGTGTTTGCCAGACACACACACACAGAGAGAAAGCAAATCTCCCTGGGGAGATGCCCTGCTTCAATCCCTTCTCCATGCTCCTCTTGAGGTTTTGGGTACAAACACACGCTGGTGTGATTTTCAAGTCACCAGGTCTGGGACTCAAACTGTTGAGTTGGTCATGTGGGATTAATCTCCATGTCACCTCCTGTCTTTCTTTCTTTCTTTTTTTTTTTTTTTTTGCTAGAGACTGCATGCCACAGAGAGATGGGAAGAGAGGCAGAGAAAGAAAGCCAGAGAGAGATGGGAAGAGAGGCAGAGAAAGAAAGCACCCCCAAGTGGGGTGTGGTCATATCGCAACCCCTTCACCTCTGCATTGTATGAGATTCTGGGTGCACAAGCACATGTAACCAGCGTGTTCCTCAAGCTACTGGGTCCAGGACTTGAACCATGCAGTCAAGCATGTGGAATCCAGATCCCTTAACCACCAGGCCACCGGGCCAGCCTGGCCCAAGAAGTATTTTGGAAGCCTTCAAGAGGGGGAGTGATGTGGCGAGCAGGCTGCCCCCACCTGCCCCCTCTAAAAGACCGCCAGCCCTCCCTGGGCTGGACGTCTTAGCTGCAGGAGCCTCTTTGGCTACAGCTGTGACACAGCTGCCACCCTGAAGACTGGGTGTTATCTTGGGCTTGCCCTGAAGGCCACCACACCCCGAGGCACTAAAGGGTGAGGACTACTGCTGCACCACTCCCGAAGGAGAACGTGAGGTTCACAAGACACCCCATGGCACACGTCTAAGCCCACCGGCCAGCCCTGCTCCTGAGGCCAGGGTGCTGGGCGCTCACCGCACCTGCCCCACCGCCTCCCCAGCTCAGACCAGCCCCGGGGGCCAAGCACTGGACAAAGACGAGAGTTGACCATCAGTGTATTGGGGAGGGGAGAGGCAGGGGCGCCTCGTGAAGGCCCCCGTGCACGGCGGCCTCTGCGACCTGCGGGGGTCTCGGGAGGAGCGGGGGTTCACGGGGCTCCGCCGGCGAAGATGAGCTCCAGGGCCGCCTGGATGTCCCACCCCG